GACTTCATCCATTTGTCTTTGGTAGTTACTGCCTACACTCGACAGGGTTGAACTCCACTGGTCACGTCTTCTCAACTAGAACTCGGAGAATTTCCTCATGAAGCTAGTCACTAGTAAGCACATTCTACGATACTTTCAATTAGAATTATGGAGATTAGTGTTTTTTTACACAATTCTGAAATCATCAATCAATCATTGTTAGACCATGTTTAGGAACCTGGAAGCACTGGACGGCCGTCTCGTCCTAGTATGAAAATCATCAGCAGTGCGCATCCATGACTCCTCCACCTCGCAGGATTCGAACCTTCAGTATTGTGCGCGAACGCCTAGCCTCAAAAATGTGCAAACAAAAATAGTAATAAATCAAAATATGTGTTTTAGGATGTGTTACAGCCTATCTAAGCCAATGATTTCTGCTTACTTTGAAATACTAAACTCTAGTTATAAGTAACATTATTATTGGTTGTCGATTTAAGAAAACAAAAATAACAAATTAAACAACTGCACGAAACCAAATAATTATATTAAGTACATTTGGTTTTTTACAAATCTTCCTAGAAAACTTAGTGAATAATGATTTTATTTCTTAACGCATCTATGTACAAGAATAAACTAATGGACAGACAAATAGATTGGTCAGTTGGTCGGTTAAGTGAATAAGAGATAGTTTTCAAGAAGGCGTATCTGTTACTCAGCCTTTATTAACACAACCAAATGGAAATACAATCATTATCTTAGTCAGATATATTAACATGCACTCTTTCAACAGCTAATGTCATTAAATAAATTATAATATAGTCACTAGATACAGTGGTACAATCATATGATAGGCATAGTTCAATATTGTTATGATATTATGGCCATCGGAATAACACAACACTGGTTGTAGAAGTACTCTTTATCATATACTCAATGGAAAAAAGAAATCAACTTTTTTCGGGTATTTAAAAGTTTTAACACATACAAGACATTCTATATCCTGTAGTTGACATGTCTAAATTCAATTATTTCAATGTGTTCAACGAACTTCAACTGTGTAGTGTATAGTGCAGTTACAATTCAATAAAAATGGAAAACATCTCTGCAATAAGGCGAATTATTTAAAGTTATAATCATGTAAACGTCAACTGACTGGTCTGACGTTTAAACGCTGGTTGCCAGATTCGGCTAGCTTCGAGAGGTCATGATGCATACTACTGAATATTACTATACTGAGATAAAACAGCTATTCAGTACTGTCTGTGTTACAGTGAATTCCTAACTTTGATCATTTTGTGAACTAAAATAACAAAGCTCAAAACTTCTCGAACTGATATACTTCCCTTTATATTGACTAGCCTAGCATTCTCATTTTTATATATTCAATTGGTGAAATGATTTTTTTCCCTCCAAAATAAAACTAATCCTAGTGTTTTATCAATAAATTAAGTACTTGGTAATTTTACTTTAGTCGCGTAATTCAGTTATAGTTATATAGTGCTGATTATTCACAAATGGAACTAGATGATGATGCATTCACACAGGCTTGTTTAATTGGAAAATTTTTTTAATTTAACATTTACTCATACGGATTAGAACCAGTTAATTGTAAGAATGTGTAAATTTAATGTTTTTAATAGACAGGACTGTAAATATATCAATATCTGTTGATTTATGAACATTTAATACATAGAGATAATAATTGACATATCGAGCTAACTAAAACTATACTACTAGTATCTCTTGACATTCAGTACTTCATTTTATAAGGTCCCTATCTTTTTATACTTCAAATTATGATTATTATTATTACTATGCTCAAATCAATGATATCGATACGTTGACTAAGTTACTCAATATGCTAACGCTTTCTGTTACAAGCAGAAATCTTTTCCTCTAGGTCAGTAACTCACACAATCGTTAGGTAGGAATTTTGTAACAAATTGTTAAGTAAGGTTTATTTAAGGTAAACGCATCTGGATTATTGGTTTAAAATGGATCATAGAAAAAACAAAACACCAGTCAAATGAAAACTTGTAATCATGAGACCACATTAAAAAAATCCTCATTTACTGATGGGGACTGTAGATCCCCAGAACGCACTTGATAAAGGCCTTAATTTTGGATTTTATTCATGGGCTGATCTGTCGACCTTGAGATCACATTTCTCATCAGGAAAATCCTTGGCTGTGATTGGTTGATGTGTTATTTTAGTGTGCTATTTTTGTGTCTCTCCTAAGGACGTTTCTATGATGTATAAATAAACACGATTTGTGTGCTTGCGTTCATTGTACTTGCTGGGTGTTTGTAGAAAACACTTCCTACACCATATAAAGACTTTTTCTTCAGTTAGTTGGATCAACGAACCAGAGTAGCCTACCTGGACGCCTGTTCATTGCCTCGTTCTCGTTTGTCGACTAAGGTGAACACGTAATAGTTTCAAGCATATCAAATGACAAGCATAACATTTACTACCTAATATGCGCTTACATAAACACAACAAAAAACTGATGATTTCATTGATCATCAGAAAGGTCAGTTTCTCATTCTAACAACAGGAAAATATTCATAGTAAAATTCTTTGTGGAGATCTAGTGAATTTTATTCAGATCACGAATCGATAATCAATTAATAATTTAACTATTTCCGATCAATCTGTAAGTTTTTTGGGAATATCGTTCATTACACGAAACATGTTATCAGCATGATAGAAAATGAATTTTCATGTTTGTTTTATTATTTTCTTTAATTTAAATCTCCTCTTTCTTGTTTCTTTATTAAAACAAAAAACGATATTGAACACAATGAAAAATGTTTAAATATATTTTCGTTAATGGAAATTTAAAATGAAAAGCAGTTCATTCAATCTACATTTTAATTCTTAACTGATACTAACTAACTAACAACAAAAACAACACAAATTAACTTAATTAATTATTGTTTTTCAATAATTTAATCGAAATTTTAAACGAAGGGCTTGAATTTGTTCTAATTGATGCGATGTGTACGGTAACATTTAAATTTCATGTTATAACGCATGTGAAACCAGTACTGAAAAGACTTTTGAATAGCGCTCGAAACTTTCAACAAAAACATTTTTGCCATGATAAAGTGAAAATGACAGATTACACAACATGTTGGATACTTAACCCTAGTCGATAATCATAATAATAAGCTTAATTACTTAATCCAGTAGCTCTAAACTATATGGATGATCCAATCAGATATAAGATATCTGCTTGATATTGATTTATCCATATGATTAGAAAGTATTCTTTCATCATAGCTGCTATAAATTGATATCTTAACTTTATCCAGAAAAAAAATTGGAGACCTTTGTAAAATCACTTAAAATCTATTCAGTGTATGTGAAAGACCAATGGTCGATATCGATATGAAGTGACCTGTTCAATTTATCAGTAGAATGATCTGTAGAAAGCATATATGGATTCATTTTGAAAAATCTCTATGCATTTTGTAATATTATTACCTTTTTGTCTGTCCGTTAAGAAGTCGTTGTCTAATTGATTAATAACTGGCTAAGCATTCATTTTGATTATGTTTAGCTCATCGCTCTATTAAAATCTTTTCCATGCCTTTTTATTGTTTAACATGAATAGGAAAGTAAAATGAATGCTTTGAGAAATATAACTGATTCATATATAATTCTCTTTATTAACTTTCACATACCAATAACAAAACTGTGATCAGAGTAATTTGCAACACCTTTTTCTGATAGATATGATCACACATCAAAGCATAATGTAGCAATTGATGAGGTTAAATAACAATTCCAAATGTATCTTCAATACGGGGTTGTGAAGATGGTTAAGTTACACATTTTTTGAAACCATGAGTCGATCAATGGTAGACGACCATCAGAAACCTGGAAGCACTGGACGGCCGTTTCGTCCTGGTATGGGACTCATCAGCAGTGCGCATCCACGACTCCTGCACCCCGCGGGATCCGAACCCAGGATCTTCGGTATTGTGCGCGAACGCCCTAACCGTTAGACCACTGAGCCGGTATCTAACGGTGTTAATGTCTAACTTGATCAAATTCACGGAGTTGCGCAACCTCATACACAGTCTTCGGTAGACACTGCCTACACTCGAACAGGTTGAACTTCACTGGTCACGTCTTCCCACTAGAACTCGGAGAAGATTCCTCACGAAGCTAGTCACTAGTGAGCACAGGTAATTCGCATTACGGGGTTGTGAAGATTGTTAAGTTACACATTTTTTGAAACCATGAACCGATCAATGTTAGACCACCAGGTTTCTAATGGTGGTCTAACATTGATCGGTTCATGGTTTCCAAATGTATCTTTGTCTTATTTCACGAAAAAACATTTGACAACCTTGACCATAACAGAAATAAACTGTGAGTGGCTAGAAATGTTACAATTTCTAAGCAGCTAACGAGAAATATGACGAAATACGATTAGTTCACGTTGTTCTTTATTTACGCTCTCTTCATCATATGTTTTGACGCTTTACAAATTAATTACTGTGATTGGATTTCAAGGTCACGTCAAATTTACTCACGCTGTGCTAACTGAATTATAAATCATGCATCGTTCAACTCCCCACATTCAATTTACTTTGGTTATCATCATTGTTAAAGTTTGAATATTCATTCATTTTATTATAGTAAACTGATTGAAATTTTGTGCCGATATTGACTTTTTAAATCACTCTGAACGGTTGTTTCGTTTTCAATGTATAACTCTTCAATTATTTACACATAAAATTTTTCCAGGAATCGAAATAACTACTAGATAACTCACAGGTATCTTAGGCACCATAAAATATCAACGTTCTTTGTTTATGTCTTTCACGGAGTCAAGGATGTAAAATAAATCTCTAGAGTTATCCAATGTCTAATGATTCATCAACTCATATTATTTCGTAATGATAACTGTTCTCCTGGGTATTTATTTATCGCTTTTGTATTTCAACAGATTAATTGTACTTATCAAGTAATTATACATGCTTTTCATTTCATCTATTTGTTTCAGTGCCAATCTTTAACCATTGTCCAATTCAAGCTAAAGACTATTGTCAAAATGGTGGAGAATGCTTTTATTTATCTGGTGATCCAAGTATATATATGTGCAGGTCAGTTTAGAAAATTATCATGAATATATATACATATTAATATGTATGATTGGGTATAATCCTGTATGGTTAGTTAATATGTGACGTAAATACTGCATAAAGTATAAATTCATGAGTAAAAGTATACAGAGTGAAGTTTACGTAGTTATCATTTCCTAATATTGTACAATAATGGATGCTTTATCTGATGTGAATTCTCGTCATTAAGAGATAAATTAAAGTAAATGTTAATTAGACTGAAAATGTTTTTGGAATAAGCAGCAAGATTTGAGAGCAATAGTTTCCTTGTTCATTGGAAAAACCATTCAGTGTTATGCAGAATTGATTATTCCACTTGTTGATGAATTCGTTGAATTGGTTCAGTTTTATAACAGTGTTTAACTTATCTATTATTTGAAACCATAAACTGATCAATGTTAGACCACCATTAGAAACCTGGAAGCTCTGAACAGACGTTCAGTCCTGGTATGGGACTCATCAGCAGTGTGCATCCACGACTCCTGCACCTCACAGGACTCGAACCCAGGACCTTATTATCGGTAGGGTGATTTATTTTCATCTTATGAATTGATAAATCAGATCTATTTTATGGTACCCTGATGATGAACGAAAATCTGAATATTATGCTTCTAGAGCTTCTTCAGCTTTCATGTAATCCACTATATTGAATATTTGTACATTTCCCTAGTTAATAGGTGAAAGTAGATGAAAGATTTTGAAATAGTTGAGTATTTTGAATGTTAGCAATTAGATATAGCTATCTGAAAATTCATTGCTAGAACGAGTTACATTGATCTGAGCTGAACGTTTTACTGTTATGATTCATCCTAACTATGCCAAGCTTGTTGTATTCACTTGAGAATCTTCCTAACAATTTTCCAAAGTGTTGTTTAATCTACTCATATTATTCAGTAGTATGCCATTGCGTTTAGGAACTTTTTGAAAATTTCGGACAAGAAGAAACTGATACAGGGGTAGGAGATTTTTTTCACAACATTCGATTATTTCCAGTATAGGAAATATAAACTTGATAGGAAATTAATTATCGGTTGATGACAAGAAAAATAATGGAGAGAGAGAGGGAGAGAGAAATTAGAAATTGACAAACGATCATTAAATTATATTTAATAATGGACTTGAATCGAATTCAGTACAAGTGCAAATTGTATTACATCGAACGAAGTCCAATATTTAGGACATGAATATTTTGTCAGGAAAATAGTCAGTTATAACAGTTGACCTTGAAAAACTGTAGTGAATTGTTTATTCAAGCAGTATGCGTTTATTTTTACACTCAAAGACCGAAAACTACACGCGAGTGGATTGTTCGAAATGATTTTCCTTATCAAAGTTTACACTCATTAGTACTCAACAACTACATAATTTACTGTTCTAAACGTTTTTGTAACTGATGAAATGTTGAACTCTGTAAATTTTTTTTCAACTGTGTCTTAGCTATAACTTTATTAAAATAGAAATAATTACTGTGTTAACATGTAACATTTTAATGAATCACGAATTAATGACTTGTTGAACTAGTCGATGATATACAGCGTTATGATGTGGTCGAATGATAGCGGCTGACGTAACCGAATTCCTGATATCAAAGATAAGACCACTGGCAAGAACAACCGGAATTATCCGAATAAAATGACATGCTTGGACATAAATTTTAGATTGAAAAATAAACAGACCTTTGTATAGTCGATGCTTGAAGAAATCGATGCCTTAGGTCACTCATTCTCTAATACATTAAAGCTTGAATGTTCAGTTTGTCGTTCTTTGTCATATCAAGCATAAAAAATATACATTTGTTATAAAATAAGTAGGAGATATCATGGAACATTATCTAAAAATAATTTTCACTTAAGTTTCTTGTTTCTTTTGTCTGTCTGTTCATTCTTTCTAGTGAAAGTATGATCTTCTTGTAAGTGGAATTCCTTTCCGATAAGAAATGAAAGTTACCGATTTCATTGTGTTTTAAAAATTTTAGAACCGCTAGTCAGAATATCATGTCGTGTTTCTAAAAAAAAAGTCTATTAGGCTTTATTTTGTTAAACTAATCAAAAACCAATAGTTTTAAAAGAAATATTATAAACGAAAAGCAGTATGTTCAATTGTACTTCAATATTCCAGTAAAAACTAATGTTCAGTTTATAGTATACAACTGGTTCTGATAGTTAACTAAAGATCTTGAACTCGATCCTTAAATATTCTCTACTACTACGGAGTATCATACTTGAAGGAAACAGATATCTAATATTCCCTAATTGTCAAACAGTATTCCAACTGACCTAAGTTTGTAACAAATGCAACGTATAAAGGAAAATCGATACAAAATGATAGTATAATGTTAAGCATAATCCTCTATCACTATGACGTAAAGGAATCTGAGCATCATCATCATCATCGATTCGTTCAAACTATTCAAAAAGAGATTAAAACTGATTTTGGACTTTGATTTCCGCTACAGAAAATGACACGAATTCAAACATAGGCACACACACATACACAGAGAGAAGATAACAAAAGAAAGGAAGTAAAGTTTACAAACTATTCCTACTGTTTTGTTGAATAAAATTCAAAAAAATGCATACAAATTGAATAATTTTCTCACTATACAACATAACTAGAACAGTAAATTGTTTGTTTTCCGAATAAAATAATAAACAGGAATGTTCAGCCTAGAATTTATAAGTTTCAATACAAAATTGAAGAATGAATATTTATTTTTTTTTAAAAAAAATAGAAAATTACGCTTATTTGTAATTGTTTAAGGTTGTATATATTGTTCAGTTAAACGAATACTAACGATTTAGAGATAAAATATGAGATTTGTAGCTGTACACTACGATTTTGATGAAGTGTCGTGCTCTGAGCTGGATGGCCTAATCATTCAGCAACTCATTATCATTCTCAAAAAAACTTATCAACAGATTTCACGGTTAGGACTTTGTACTGATATTGTTGTTTAGATGTATAGTGAAAGGTTTATGATGAATTCACTTGCCTTTTAAAATGAAAATACTTACCATGTAAAGCAGTAGCATTTAGTCTGTTTTTTAATAGTAGACTGAATGAATATGATTTCAGTTTTAATAAATAATGCATCAGTTGGTAAAGGGAATTGTGTTTTTCCTTTCTGACTGTCACAAGGGAAAATCTCTTGTAAACGTTTCCCTTTACGTCATAAGTCAGTAAACATTTAAATGATCATCAATCTGTATGAGGGTTTAGTGAAAATTGCCTCAAGCTCTACCTAATTACAAACAACATACACTATGACGTCAGATCACTCACCTTTGTCACAAAGTTACAAATATGATCGATAGCATTGAATAAACACTAACGGCTAAACTATTCGAGATTGTTACTTACTGGTAGTGTAGTGAAGGAGAACACAGGTGAGGGCAACCGAATTGTATTTATCGCAAATTACAGAGTTACTCAGTAAACTAGGAAAACCATATCGTAATGTGGTGCTGTGGTGCGAACTACTTATAAGTAGTATATGACGTGAGTGTCAACGTAAAGTCTGGTAGCATAATATGAGGGGAAGATCAAGAAAGGAAGAGTTAGAAAACAATGGGATTTGTATGAAACGCATGAATAGTGACAATGGAGTGATGTTTTGCAACAGGAACAGTCCAGTTCCATAGGATGAACTGATCTTTTGCAAATGAACGATTTACGATATGGTTTTCCGATTTTACTGAGTAACTCTGTAATTTCCGCTAAATACAATTCGGTTGCCCCACCTGAGTTCTCACTCACTACAGTAACCGTTAATTTGCAAATCTTCAATCAATCATCAATTCATTGTCTGACATTTCACTATTCATGCGTTTCATACAAATGCAATTGTGTTCCCACTCTTTCTTTCTTGATCTTCCTCCATCTTCTGCTGCCAGACATTACGTTGACACTTACGTCATATACTACTTATAAGTAGCGCGCACCACAGTAGAATAGTGTAAATGATGGGATTCCATTGTCATTTTATTGATCAGCACTTCAAGAACGATGTTTGCTATTGTTTATTGACTAAAGAGTGTAGAAAAACCAAACGAATTCTTTAAGGAAGTTTGGTTCAAGATAGTGTTGACTTGCATTGAACTGTGGAAATTCTTGGAATCAATATAAACTCAAAAGTAGTCGTCAGCTGTTTTGAATTAGTTCAAGGTTCCGCAATATTTCATATCCACAACTCCTCCACGGAGTCATCAAAACAATTACCACCAGGTTTTATAAAGAACGCTTAATCTTTAAGCCACTTAGCCAGAATGCCATAACTGATTTCGGTCAAGCCAGGTTTTTATGCTACCATCCTTCAGTATAATTCGTGAATAACTGTTTTCAATACTCTACATGCCTGAAATCTACCGATTAGGGTTTCTTACTAAAATTCACTGAATAATCGAAAATGAACAGCCTCTAGGGAAGAAACGGTTGTACTAGAAGTGAAACAGCTGTTTATTGCATCTGATTTTTAGTAGTTATTAATATTTAATGCAAATTATGGAGTCTTTCTTTTAAATTAAATTAACTGTATTAATTATGTTTACTACTCAGTAATCTATTTCATACTAAAGCACTATAACTTTCCAGTTAAAAAAATATTTAATAATCAATCTCATTACCATTGGTCATATTACCCAATAGTTAGTTGTCCGAGACTTTTTAAAATTTATCTATGATTACCATCTGTCGTCTCAGGCTCAATTCTTAAATTTTTAATCGACTATAGACAATAATAATATGTTCAGTAGATGGAAGCAATTATTCTAAAGTCTACTGATACTTACTCATTAATAAGTAATATGTCTGTCACCAAAAATAAATCCTCTACATTAATATCACCTGATAATAATCACTCATCTATGACTACTAGACTGAGACATCAGTGTTATGCTAAGGTAAAGTCAATTGTACAATGCAATTCCAATCCAACTACGATATTTGTAGCATTTTCTACAATAAGATAGGCTATACTAAAAGTAATAATCCAAGTTGATTTTTATTCTAGGAATAAACAAAACAATCATCAAAAAAATTTGGTTAATTTTCATTCTATTCCCTTCTGAAATTTAATCTCTGATAGAAATTTAACAAAATTCATTTAAAAAGCATTTCTTTTTCATTTTTCTGTCCAGTATTTGTCCACACACACACACACACACACTCTCATTAAGAAAAATTACCAAGGCCTCACTCATCGTTTATATTATTATTATTATTATTATTATTATTATTATTATTATTATTATTAGCAGGCTCATCAAACTTGTTACATTTCGATCAGCTCACATATATTTAACCAGACATGAAATCGATCGATAAGACGACCTTGAAAGTATTAAGTTTATTGGTATTATTGGGCGAGATTATTTCAAATCAAACGCACCCACACACACACAGAAATGTGCACAAATAAAAAAATAATTGACAAACATTAGTTAGTTAGTTATCAGCCGCATTAAAACAATTTAAGCAACTTTTTCTTATTCTAGCCTATTTTCATCTAATTGTCTCCAGTTATGGTTGGTTGTACAATTTTGTTACAAAATAGATGAAAGACTTGATTGTCGCAAATTCTGAGTAGTAATTTTTCTTTACTAAAGAATATTTTCAGCATGTAGAAATTGTTAGCTTTAAATGGATGGGAGAGTTTTTCAGAAATTTAATTGTTTAGACAATTTTGTATGAAGAAATGACCAAGTGTTTAAAGTAATATTGTGGTGCGCGCTACTTATAAGTAGTATTGACGTGAGTGAAAACGTAATGTCTGGCAGCAAGCAGAAGATGGGGGAAGATCAAGAAAGGAAGAGTGGGAACACAATAGAATTTGTATGAAAAACGCATGAATAGTGAAATGTCAGACAATGGATTGATGATGGATTGAAGATTTGCAAATTAACCGTTTACGATATGGTTTTCCTATTTTACTGATTAACTCTGTAATTTGCAATAAATACAATTCGGTTGCCCTCACCTGTGTTCTCCTTCACTACAATACTACAAAATACATTATACTAAAGTAACAAATGTTTATGAACTAGAATAACAATAATTAAAGACCTCTTTGTATCGTATTATCCGGACAGTTAGCAAAGCTTCTTCACGTTTAACTCTGTATTTAAATTTGAAATGCAATCAACCAAACAGTTAGGTACACTGGATTGTATACCTACTCATAAGTTATATCCAATGTACCAGAATTAACGGCAGTAATGTACAATCTGAACCAAAGTAGATATTGTAGTAGTTCTAATCACAACTAGAATTTAAATAGTGGCATTTCCTGTATTCTTCATCCTCACTTCCAGATGGCACCAAGTTAGCTTTGTTTATGTAGCTTCTGCTCTCAAACCTATACATGAAGTAATTCCATTAACAATAACACCGTTGGATGCCGGCCCAGTGATCCAAAGGTTAGGCGTTCGCGCTCAATACCGAACATCAAGGGTTTGAATCCTGCGAGGTGCAGGAGTCGTGAATGCGCACTGATGATGAGTCCCATACCAGGAAGAGACGGTTATCCAGTGCTTGTAGGTTTCTAATGGTGGTCTCACAATGATTGATTGATGACTTTAATTGTGTAAAAACACTAATCTCTATAGCTCTAATTGAAAAATTCCCTTCTAGTTTGAAATTTTGAGGTAATACCAACCTACAATTTCGAAATTCATTATGTTAAGGTCTTTCATGGAACACCATATTTTTAGACTGGAAGTAATAATGTAAACTGCCTAAGAATCATAAAACATTCTCCATAATAAAATCGTTGTATCAAACAATTCACTATTTTTCATCAAAAACTACCCAATTCATTCATTGATTTTTGCGTTTTACCATTTCAGCTGTTTTATGCCATTCTATGGACCACAATGTGAACATAAAGCTCCTAGCAGGGATAAACAAGTTGAAGTTGAAGAAATACAAAGTAAGTTATGGGATAAGAAGCCTAAATATGGGCTTTTACTCATCTTACTGACTAATATGAGTTTAAACAGATGACATTACCAACTAAATGTACATCAATGCTAATTGAATTTAACAATATTCATCCTGACATAAAGTAAACAAGGCCTCTTTCGAAAATAGTCAATTTAGTTTATCACTAAATGTGTCACTCAAAGGTTGCCATCTTATTCATCTTATATTTTATTACTTTCAGATTGGGTTCAGTTTCAATGTTGTATAAATGAATTGACAAGTAAATTCATAAGTCAACTATGACAACCGACTGAGCTTATCCTTAATGTTTTCACTATTGAATAATTATAACAATGGCTTTGTTCAATATTAAATGTTTAGTACAATATAAAATTCTCAGCAGGAAACATTTCAACAAGTTTTATTTACAAAACAATCAGTGAATGGCATTTGAAAGTAAATATTACAGGAATCCACAAAAATTATTAACGTTCATTCTTTTCTTAACAAATAGCCGGCCAACGAGTTGTCTCGGAATGTGTTTTGTAAAGCGATGGCTCACAAACTTTACATGCTCGCCTAAATAGATTATGATATTAACAGACATAATTGACGTGGTAAAACAAACACAAAGAGGCCACTTGTTGAAATATTCCGACGTTAGGCAACAGGTAGCCCAGTGTAAAGTGCCGCTCATCTGGTTGTTTAGTGCTGTACACCGAACTGTACTATATATTTAACACTACTTTTTCCATGCCTTATGTTGTGCTTACATTAGATTGATCTTAGACAGTTAAAGACTATTTCAACCAATCGAAATGATGTCTTAAATAATAGTCACATTTAAATACGCACTATTCACAAAATGAATAGCATGAAAAATAGTTGAAAGTTCTGGAAACGACACAGGCAATTAACTTTGAGGAAATTCTAATTCATATCAGTTCACTTGTTATCTGATTGGTAATCAAATAATCAGAAAAGGTCTTGAAGTGACAAACTCTCCTATACAGTAGTACTTTACAAACACGTAATTGATGTAGTTTACCATTAAGTTTCATGAAATGAGTATCACTGAAATATATTTTAATTCCATTTTACTTTAAAAATTGACCTAACTGATTGATTTAAATTATTGAACTGATGAGTTGTTGTATAGAGCAATTATATGATGCGTTAAGCATGAAAGTCAGTGAATCATAAATGAGGACATGTTGTCTAAATGAGGACAGTCATTTTATCTGCTAACTGACTGACTGTTTATCTGAATGGTTGTTCGTATTGTTTCAACATTATCAGTGTGAACATCATTTGTGTAGGATAGACAAAATAACGATTACACAGAATGATCCTATGAAAATACACTGTAAGCTCACCATTTGTGGTGCGCGCTACTTATAAGTAGTATATGACGTGAGTGTAAACGTAATGTCTGGCAACAGAAGATGGGGGAAGATCAGGAAAGGAAGAGTGGGAACACAATGGAATGAAATGCATGAATAGTGAAATGTCAGACAATGGATTGATGATTGATTGAAGATTTGCAAATTAACGGTTACGATATGGTTTTTCCTATTTTACTGAGTAACTCTGTAATTTTTGTTAAATACAATTCGGTTGCCCTCACCTGTGTTCTCCTTCACTACACATTAATCTAAATAAATAGTTACCAGTCTCTGAACAAACCATATGTAACTGAAAACGTTTCCGTGTCCTGTAAACGACAATTCATGGCGGATCTTTAGAAACCCTATAAACTCTATGAATCGTATAAAATGAGCTGAAAGAGTTGTTACCATCTTACATGTTCTCAATATCGGTTACAGGTGTTGTCTATAATTTAGCCACAACATTATATCATACTCAATGTTTGGTTACACAAAACATTTGTCTATCTATTTCGAGTATCTTATGAATTAAGTTTACCCAATTTTTACTTCGCTTTTTTAATATACAAGAAGCGTTTTGTGTTTTAATGTTCACGCAAAAGTTCACATCCTACTGTCTTAATCCTGTTGGTTAGTTAGTATAGTTTAAAAATGAGGCCAATTCACCAGTTTGAACAGTTAATTACATTATTAACTGATTTCAGCGCACTACATCCTGACTTACTTACTTACTTACTTACTTACGCCTGTCATCTACAATGGAGCATAGGCTGCTGACTAGTGCTATCCAACCTACCCTGTCCTGGGCTTCCCTTTTCAGTTCTGTTCTATTTTTGTTCATTCCTCTCATGTCTGTCTCCATTTCTCGGCGTGATATGTTCCTTGGCCTTCCTCTTTTCCTTTTAACTAGAGGGTTAGAAGTGATGGCTTGTCTTGTGACGCAGTTAGGTGCTTTTCGTAGTGTGTGTCCTATCCACTTCCACCGCTTCTTACTGATTTCCTCCTCCACTGGAATCTGGTTTGTTCTCTCCCACAGTAGATTGTTGGTGTCTGACCAACGCATGAGAAGTATTTTGCGTTGACATCTGTCAATGAATACTTGAATCTTCTGGATGATAGCTTTCGTAGTTTTCCGTGTTTCCGCGTCATGCAGTAGAATTGTCTTGACATTTGTATTGAATATCCTGATTTTGGTTTTTGTTGAAATTTGTTTGGAGTTCCAGATATTTTTCAACTGTAGAAATGCAGCCCTTGCTTTGCCAATCCGCGCCCTCTCATCTGCATCGGATCCACCTTGATTGTCGATGATGCTGTCCAGTTATGTAAAGGTGTTAACGTCCTCCAAGGCATCTCCATCAAGAGTGATTTGGTTGGTACATGTTGTGTTGTGTCGGAGAATTTCGCTTTTTCCTTTATGTATGTTGAGACCTACTGCTTCAGAGGCTGCTGCTACACTGATCGTCTTCTCTTGCATTTGTTGTTGCGTGTGCAATAGAAGAGCCAGATCATCTGCGAAGTCCAGATCGTCCAGCTGCGTCCTAACTGTCCAGTTAATACCGTGCTTCCCTCCAGATGTTGACGTCTTCATAATCCAGTCGATGACCAGGAGAAAGAGAAAGGGTGAGTGTAAGCAACCTTGCCTGACACCGGTCTTCACCTCGAAAGAGTCTGTTAGCTGTCCTCCGTGCACGATTTTGCAGTTGAATCCATTATAAGATTTCCGTATGATGTTAACTATTTTCTCAGGCACACCTTAGTGTCGAAGAAGCCTCCACAGTGTTTTCCTATCCACGCTATCGAATGCTTTCCTGAACTAATTATTAAATTAAACTTCAAAAAAAGGAAAAATGTGGACAAGTTTCTTAAAAAAAACAGCGTGTGATGTTTAGAACTCTCAACAAACTCAACTTTCCTCAAATGAGCACCTCTTATACACTAAATTTCCGTCAGTAAGTGAAATAAATGAAAGCGTTGAATGATTTAGTGCACATCCACGATCCAACCAGCAATCGAACCCAGGACATTCAGATCCTGTAGCGACAACAATGAAGTTCAACCATGTGGAATGCAAGACAGCAGCATTGGAAGCTGGCATCGTAGTGTAATTAACTGACTAAAGTTAACAATACAATCCTTTGGTTGCCAACCTAATAGTCTGGAAGTCAACTGCACTCCACTAAACTGGGTTTCTTTCTTCCGTGGATTGATGAATATATACTACAGAAGATTCCTACACTAAAATAAAAGCTTTCCAATGCTTTCTGGTTCTTAATGGTTGTGTTTATTAGATCAGTCCGTGATCTAATGTACGAAATTAATCAATCTTCACAAAACTCTTTCCAGTTACGGTCATCATTTTACTTGATAACTGTTAAACAACAGTGAAGTAATAAATGTACATAACGTATATATATATGTTGAACATAGAACTCCCAATTGTTTGAATACAGTTTTATTAACAATCATAATATTATTGGAATAGGAATTCACAGAAAACTAAGTACATAAGTAGCCACAACAGATATTTTTTAAGATTTTAGGCTCACAAATATTGAGATCACAGTAACGAAGAGACATCTATGTATTGGATAGAGAAACCATGGAAGTCGATAGAATTTCAGTTATCACTAACAATTATCAATAGCATAAGATCGGGCAATAACTCAGTGATCAATCAATGCAAATTAAAATATTTCGTTTCAGATAGTTGATGAATTCAGAAAGTGAGGTGTTAATGGTGATCATCAAGAAACCAATAGAATCCAGTTAAATTCATTGTGTTGTGTAGACAAAATTTTATTGAGGTTTTTAAATCATATACAGTTTTGTTTTTAAATATTAATCACCTTGAATTATTCGACACAAATTATTCACTAAAATAATGTCAGTTTTGAAGATAATATTCACCCCTATAAACTGAATTCAGCGACAAATCATTGGAAGTTGTCGAATGCATTATGTTTTTGAGTCCCATCTGTGATAAAACCAATCACTCGCCCAGTATTATATACATTTCCGATAATTCAGTGGTTAAATTTTGTTACTGATGAAAATATAGATTGAAAAATCAACATGGAATAAAATAACTCATTGGTCAATTCAAACATTGCAATTAATCTCTTCAAGTTCGCTAACATTATTTACGATCGATAAACTACAAAAACAATGCGGAAACGGAAGTAAGCTTTTATCGGCTAAACTGAATCGAAAATATATGCACAAATAATTTATAAATATATATCTATCTCTATAAGAAATTTAAGCCGTATTTTCAACCAATAGCTTATGTCTCTTTTGAGTTGGAATTGAAACCAAATAACATGCTCCCATCAGCATATTTCACTTATCATTTGAACCATGCCTAATTAACTCTTCATATCGTTAATCATACGGTATTCAAATCTGTTCTTCAAACTACCAGTTAAAACGATTGGAAAACCTGTCAAACACCCTTTGTTTAAGATAATGAAGAATATTTACAGCTTAGGATGAAGATTTCAGAGTTTCTGTGTTCTCTTATCTGATTGGTTGATTCTTGAAGCATTCACTTTCCGTACAATATAATCAGCAGTTACCTAAAAGAGAAGTGAACTACTAAAATCTCTGCTCGGTTGGTTGACAGTTTGTTCTGCTCGTATGGAATTAGCTTGGTTGTTATGTTGATTTTCTTTACACCGAGACATGAACCCAATAGATTTTGTTTCAAACAAGCTAGTGAGATATTCATTCAGCTACCGAGTTCAAGCATCATCTGACTAGCAGACAGTAATATTGAAATGTAGGCAATACCAAGTTGATTAACCCCATATGAGATGAAAAACAAGTCCTGGATTTCATAGCTAGCTTCAATTCTACATCTATTCTCTATAATTTTTTACTTATTGGTTTTATAAATAAAACTGAATCTTAAACTATCAATATTCCAATGGAAACTACTGATTTCTAACATTCAATGAATCATTGCATATTGATTGTTTCTTGTTTTATTTCAGAAAATTTCAATATCAATAATGATCATGTTGATAATGATGGTTTTATCATTAAACGATCAGTTGATCGTGCAATGACATTGACAGCATTAATTTTCATTGTGGTCACATTTTTAGGAATGTTAATTTTAGCATGGTATATTTCTAGGTAAGTATTTTTATTTATAGAATTTTGAGTTTATTACAGTTATGAAGTAAAGTTGACTACTGAACGGCTTTGTGTGATTATGACTTTTTATTTTAACAAATATGAATAACCGAATGACAACATAAAATGAAAACTGTTACGCATACACGTAAACATGTCATTTTGATATGCTTGGATTATTACGAGTTTAACTTAGTGAGAAAAAGAGAGCGAGGATCGAGGATTCGGCGACACGACAGGATATTCTAATCCAATTGTCCCAACCCCCACTGAATAAAAGAAGAAGACCTGCTATGAAGTAGATCCTGTATTCTACAAGCATCCAGAAAGTACGAGGTCAATGTCCAGAAGAGAATCATAAAACGTTACAGATAATGCGTATTTATACATTTAGGTCGAATAGGAAACACCATCGAAGTCTGTGACATTGACAGTTAAAACGACCAATAGGAAAAAACATTTGAAATGACATTGATAGTCAGGACGACCAATAAGAAGCAACATTGGAGTATTTGACATTGATAGCTAGGACGACCATAATATTGACCAATAGGAATCGACCAATAGAATTCACACCTATAAAATGATTCTTCGTAGGATATTTGGTGAATATCCTAACAAAACAATTCAGAAGAATGAGTAGTTTCCACATGATTAATTAATATTTTGAAGTTAATAATCAGCTTTTAACTGTTAGAATTCAGGATTGGAATTATAGTTTAGTTCATAAAATTAACGTTAGGCTTCTGAATTTAGCATCATATTACCCTCTAAATAATAGATCTGCTCTTATCCTAAAGCTTGACTCCAATTCTTACTCATAAATCAGAAACATGAATATTTAACTCTGATCATAACACTAGCTGTCTATTTTACACCACAAATCTTGGTTCTAATTAGCTAATAAGTGGTTGAAATTTCTCAGTGACACGTTTGAATTCATTATAGGTCGTCCCAATGTCATAGTTTCGCCAACTCAGTGATATTTTCATATTTGAAGTCACGAAACGATCATAACTACATCACCACTGGAAAACTGAAATCACTCGATAGCCGTTTCCTCCTAGTATGGGACTTATCAACAATGCATATCTACTATCTTCACACGCCAAAGTCGAGCTCAGCACCCCCAATTTCCTGCGCTAACACTTAACCTCTGGACCACTGAGTCTCCGTCCAGTCGTATTATTATTTAACTTCAATCAATCCATGCGGCTGAACAAACTAAATTTATTTAAACTAAAACTGAAAAAACTCCTATCAATATGACAACATTCACTCTCTCATATTGGCAAAGAAAAACATTTCATACCTGTCCAGAAACTCAATTTATCAACTTATTCAGTAATTTTTAATTTGTAACTGATATTCACTGTAGTCTAAGTGTCGTTAAAATCCATAGAGCTTTAGATATTTGTTTCGTGCAGATGAGTTCTTAGGTGGACCTATACAAGAAATCGTAGACTAGAACAAAACTTCTGTTCAATGTTCACTGGTTCCTAATGGCGCACAAATTGATATTTATTCGCAACGAATATCAAGTACCAATTGAATTGATCTGCACATTTTAGTTTAACATGTAATTTATTATTAAATCCATGATTACTATGTGGTTTAAAAAAGTATAATAATAATTTTGGGGCACAGTTTTCAAATGTGTAAGAAATCACAAACCTCCAAAACTGTGCCCCAAAATATCGTAACAGTGCTAACTAGTGACTAGCTTCGTGAGGAAATTCTCGGAGTTCTAGTTGAGAAGACGTGACTAATGGAGTTCAACCCTGTTGGGTGTAGACAGTAACTACCAAAGACAAATAGGTGAGGTCGCGCAAAATCCCTAGATCAATCAGAGTTAGACATTAACACCGTTGGATGCCGGCCCAGTGGTCCGATGGTTAGGCGTTCACGCACAGTACCGAAGGTCTCGGGTTCGAAACCTGCGAGGAGCAGGAGTCGTGGATGCGCACTGCTGATGAGTCCCATACCAGGACGAAAGGGCCATCCAGTGCTTCGAGGTTTCTAATGGTGGTCAAACAATGATTGATTGATGATTTCAAATGTATAATAATGATCATAATAATTAGAAAGTGAACATACATATACAATATAAGAACACTTAATATGTTATGTTTTTTAATTCATAAAAAATATTGAACATGCATGCATCGTACATAAATGATGATTCATATTTATTCACTTTGTACTTATTGTATTATAACAAGTTGAACTTGATATCCTTTGAAAAAAAATTCTAATTTCGTTTTTTTTACAAAATTAATTAATTCCATGCTGTATAATTAATTTCAAATAATGGTTAACATGACCGAATTCTGTTTCTGCTATACAATTTATGTATTTTGTATTTAGTTTTTTGAAAATTTAATTAAAAATTTATCCGTTTAATTTGATTCTATGATTCAACAAACATTTTTCATCTAATTATACATTTTCAATTTTCAATTTTCAATAATTATGTTTACATTCCATTTTGTTTTACATGAATCTTGTATGTGTAGATTTTTTTTTATGACTTTAAGAAATGATGAATAACAAAACTACCCTATTTTTCCCGTTAAGATTCAATGACCAACTAATGTGAAATTAATTACTTACACGGAGATTGAGATTGCCATACAGAAAAATAGTTGATCAACATGTGACTTAATATACGATAGGTTTCAGAAGAGTATCCTAACGAAGCAGACAATTTTGGAATTTGTGTAGTTATTCTATGACAGAAGTTAATAATCACTTTGTCATAAAACGAAATAGCTATCGGTGATTTTGAAGTTGATATCAATGTATGTGCGAACCCCGTATTTGAATCGTAAAAATCTGTTCATGAAATGCACCTGAATAAATTTATTTCCATTGACCTTTTGAAACCAACTCTTGTATCTAATTAAAATTTCAATAAATGAATAAGGATAAAAGTGGGGAAGTTAGTCAACTTAGCGTAAAGCATTTAGTTTACACTGACGAAACGTTTCGACAACAAACTCAAAGCCTAATTTATATGCCATGATAAATAGTTAGATAGTGAAAAGTCAGTAAATCAGCCTTCAGAAGTTAACTTAATCACCAGCAGTCACTTAGCAGCATTTCCAACGTAGTTTATTTGTTCAGTCAACTAATCTCATACATTGTTGCATTGAAATTTAGTAGTTTGATTGTTCAACTTCTCAACGAAACCATATGACGGCATATTATACATAGGTTTATAGATTTAAAACTAGGAAAAATTTATCATAACTGTTTTATGAGCTTAAGGTATTTTCAAATACACTGTAAACATTATTCAGTACACTAACCTTATGCCCCGATTTCTTGACTTTCATAACTGTTAATATGTTGAACTAACAATGAAATTAGATAATGTAAAAATCAATTACACTTAACTGACAAACCAGGTTGAAATATGATAATAAACGAAAGGTATTTCTTGTGTAAAGGCATGACCTTGCAATTATAAAAGCTCTCTAGAAATTCGACCAATCGGATTAAAGAAAAAAATTGATGAGTTCGATTTTTAATTATATGGAAACAATTCCCCAAAACACTGATTAATTACCAACCAGTAATGTTTAGTATTTAACGGCCTCTAATAATTTTTAAAATATCCTTTAATGAATATTGCAGTTATTTTATTTATTTAATGTCAGCCTCAGACAAAACTTGTTTTCAGGATTCAGAAAAATTATTATTTCAAATCACCTTTTATTGACAAACTATAAGTACATTGTCCATTTAGTAGACAATGCTTTTATTGGTTATATTCGTCTCCGTTTAATATAATCATATTAGGGAACACTGAATAGCTACCTTGACCTTGTACGAGTCCCCCGAGCAATCCTGATCCCCTAACTTATGAATCTAACCTAAAATAATAGAACCCGTTTCCACAAAACCTTTTAAGGTAATGATCCTATCGTTATTTAAAAAAGGAGAACAGGGATTTCATCACTAATCCAGCTCATCATATCAAAATTTGCATAGTAGTATAGAAATTTATCAGAAATAAATTATTGCCCTTTTTGTCACGTTTTCTTATCAATCATCAACATACTGGAATCATACAACATTCACTGATATTTTGTAACAATTGGTTTTACTACTTATTTTACATTTGAGTAATATACTTTGTCATACATTTTAGGCGTAGACGTAAAGATTATGCTAGATGGAGAAGAATGACAGAACTGGCAATGAAGGTATTTCTTTTTAAAATGTTTTTTATTGTTTGATTAGATGTGTAGTCAAAAAATACTGTTAAATTGTTTATTATAACATAGAGAAAAACATTTCAAAAAGTTGATCATTCACAAATTATACTTTTGACTATGATAAATAGTTGAATCGTAAAGTATTCCGTTCATCCTGTTTAGGACTCATCAGCTTGATAGTTTTCTATCACAATGTTGCTCATTTTTACGATGTAAATCAAATTCAGAACTTATGGATTTACTCATTAGAATGCTATCTGTTAGGTCAGCAAATCATAACTGCCACCAATTTTATGATGACTAGGATTAAAAGAGTTTGAATCATACCACTTAGTTGGCGCAATTTCTTTTAGAAATATGGTTTATTTAAATAGATTTTTCTACTTTATCTACATTAGTTATGTTCTATGTTCTACTTCAGACTCTCTTTCTTGATCCATGTGCATCACCAGCAAAGGATACAAACTCTTTAACCAATACAAGTACCAAACACCATGAATGAAATTTGAATATCATGAGTTAGTAGCTTATTGAGCAACTTTGGTGTTTAATTGGATAGGTGAATGTTTTGAGTCTCACTTGTAATACTAAGACAGATTCACCTGTATAATGAATTCCAGTATTAGCTTTTAGCTAATTAAATTCAACTGAATTTTCATGAACTGATCTAATCTAGATCACCATTCGAAACCTGAAAGCATTGGATAGCTGTTTCATCCTAGTATTGGACTCCTTGGCAATACACATCCACGACCTTTGCTTCTAGGTTCCTAATGGTAGTCTAGCTAAGATCAGTTCATGATTTCAGCAATAAAAAGAATACATTCTCCACAGATCTTCCTCATAACGAATTATTATTGAAAACTTATTTAATATAAAAACCCAAAACTTTGTATTTCATAATTCAATTATCTCGGATAAACATGATTCGTAGAAGAATGCTCAAACTTATTTTGTTACGAATATTGAAATATTCAAATAGTTAACTATCTATATTAAGACTAGATATTTTGCTCAGAAAGATAGATGTACTGCTGAAACTAATTAAATGTTCAAATCCCAAGTGATACTTTGGATCTATCCACCAATACATTATTTAGAATTCCAAACAGTGGTTCCCTCTGATAAATTTGAACAGAGAAATGAGAAGACATATTTTGTGAGATAGTACCATTTCGTGCTTTCTCGTCAGTCACATACAAGCAACATGTTATTTGTGTAAATACGGTTTTGAAGATAAGGTCAAAATTTCTTATTTAGCATGACATTCACTCACTAGAACCATGGTAAACAAAGGTCAACAAACGGTTTCTTTTTGAACACACAAAGTTGGACTTTTCCGACCAATCAAGATAGCTTCGAGTAGTTTCAGTGTGTGTGGGTTTTGATTACATGTCACAACTCTAAAGGCTGATTTTGGGTCAATTTGATGACCACCCATCATTAGATGTTTTGCAATGGACGAGGCTGGGTTTCTTGATCGATTTTGAGATGACGAGCTAGGTGTGTGAATCATGGATTTGATTAACCATTTTGGAATATGTTCCCCTATCCTATCCTCCAATCGGCGATCTGTCTTACCCAAGTAACTTTCTCCGTAGTTACATGTGAATTGGTAAATACAGTGGGATTTGGACTGAATCGGTCTTGGAGACTTGATTGGGGTAACTGAGATCGATTGAGTTGTTGTGATAAGCCTCAGATTAGCTGCATTGAAGGTCTTTTTTATTGCAGCTGCAGTCTGTTTGGTTGTAATTTTCATTCAATTATCACCTTCGAAAGGTAACTGTAGTTACACTGGTTTCTTGGGTACATCAGTTGCTATCATTTTCGTCGTAGTTGTGTTCTGATGACCAATAAACGTTTCGGGATATCCGTTTAATTTAAGTGTCTCAGTATTTATACGAATAACAAGGTCGCTTGTATGTGACTGACGAGAAAGCACGAAATGGTACTATCTCACAAAATATCTCTTCTCATGTCTTTGTTTCAAATTATTTAGAATTATTTGAAAACTAATTAATTAACATGATATAACTAACTCATTGTTCTTTAAAGTGATTTACATTACTGTTATTGTACTGTGTTGATGTTATTTTAGTCGAATACTAAAGAGAAATCTGACAAACAGACACAAATCACATTGGATTATGCTGATGAGAAAGAAATTTCTTCATTAATTAAATCGACTCATTCCTTAGACAATAATAGTCATGATGATAATGATGACGATGCTGATGATGATGGTGATGATGATCTTGAATTGAATAATGATAAGAAAGATTTGGAAGCTCAATTTGAACTGACTAAGACCAGTTCAGTGTATAATGATCATTACGAAAAACAGACAGATAAATATTCTGATATTAAATTAAAAACGGATGAAGGTAAGGATAAGTGATTACATGCTTTAACTACTTCATTATTTATAAGTAGACACTGAATTTCACTGTGAACATTTTGAATTATCAGGAGAGTTTTCATTTATCCTTACCTAATTAACATTTCATTAGACATTAACATGACTGGATGCCGGCTGAGTGGTCCAATGGTTAGGCGATCGCGCACAATACTGAGGGTCTCGGGTTCGAATCCTGTGAGATGCAGGATTCATGGATTCGCACTGCTAATGAGTCCCATACCAGGACGAAACGGCCGTCTAGTGCTTCCAGGTTTCTAATGGTGATCTAACAATGACTGATTGATGATTTGAAATGTGTAAAAACACTAATCTCCATAACTCTAATTGAAAATAACATTTCACAGTTGCATCTTTTTTCAATACAACTTTCTACATGTGATTTCTGATTATTCCGAAAATTGTTGTTTTCACAGTTTTAGAACAACACATATAAGTGAACGTCATCCAGCTTTATTCTAATATGCACGAATATATATGTGAAAACACTTAAAACAATCAAGGCAATTTGGGTCATTAATCACAATGAAATAGATTACGTCACTACACATTATAGGCAAAAGTACATGTTGATAGTAGGAAGACAGGTGCATTGATAGTAGTAAGAAAATTCAGCAGCTCGTGTGGAGATAGCTATATCGGGCGTACTACCAGGCAACTTAACCAACGAAAGAGTGAACACTTCCTATCAGGGTTTATGAAGGGTCAGGTAAAAACAATACTCAGTTCTATCTTGACACATCGAGGTGATAATGGTCATTCCAAGTGATCTATCGTATACCTCCGTCAGTTCCCAATGGAGTTAGATCCTGTCTTCTAAATATAGCAGAAGCCATAGGAATTCGTACATTCAACCCCAATTTATATGTTCAGAAGAGATTTGTGACACCCCTTATCCTTTCCGTGGCTGAATATAACTTAACAAACGTTTTGAAAAGTTTTTTTTTAATATTTCATTTTATTTTTGTTATTATTAACATTATTTTCACATTCTGTAATTTTCTGCTTATTTCCGTTCAAAGTCTTCACTATCTAATAATTTACACATTTCTGATTCCGTAGTGGTTTGATTGTTTTATAATGAATTATTTTAAGTCGATTTATTCACGTTTGACCTACTATTTCCAATGTTGAACTATTGATAAAACTTTTGTTATCGTATCGTATTTTATTTTATTTTTCTTACTACTATCAGTAAATCTGCCTTCTTACTATCAAATTGTACTTTTGCCTATTATGCGTGTAGTGACATAATCTGAGATGGTGGAGGAAATTTGAAGCTCAGGTGGATGATTATGTTGGTGTTTTGTTCTATGAGTTGGTTGCTTTGGTTGTGCTCTAGTTCAGAGAACGAAACACCGCCACAATGACATAATCTATTCAACTGTGATTATTGCCTTGATTGATTTGAATATATTCACTATAAATAATCATTTATATTCGAATAGAGACTGATGACGATCTAATTGAAGAGAATATTGTTCGCTTAAATGTGATCGTTCTAATGTTCATTGTTTTGTCAACATAGAGTAGTTAGATGAATATTGTGGGAAGGCTTCAATTGAACAAAACCTCTTGTTATGCTCGTCAATCGATATGCTTAAAACTATTACGAGTTCATCATAGTCGATAAACGAGAACGAGACAATGAACCAGTGACATAATAGGCTACTCTGATCCGTCGCCCCAACTAACTGAAGAAAAAGTCTTGATATGGCGTAGGAAGTATATTCTACAAACACACAGCAAATGCAATGATCTCAAGCACACAAATTGCGTTTATGTATACATCATAGAAACGTCCTTGGGAGAGTCAAAAAAATAGCAGCACACTAAAATAACACATCGACCAATCACAGCCAAAGGATTTCCCGGTGGGAAATATGATCTCAAGGTCAACGGATCAGCTCATGCATAAAATCTAAAATTAAGGCTTTTATCAAGTGAGTTCTAGGGATCTAACGTCCTCAACACCTCTAGAAAAATATCATCTAAATTATATAGATTATTTTTCTGAAATAAATGATTCAAGCAATTTAGCTTACCATTTTTTCAGTTTATTTTCTTTGATGAAGCCTGATACTTTTAACAAAGTTGAATCTCATTAGCTACAACTGTATCTAAAATTTAAGCTCTTTTGTTGACAAAAAAGAAAACATTTCCTTCACTGAAAAAAAAAATTGGTAAACAAGTTGTAATGAAACATTTTTGACATTAATACTAAACAACTATTAAGAAATTTCTTCTCATCAATTCACACCATTCAGTTTGTGTGTACTTTGATTAACAATAGAATGGACTAATGGATACTTTGTTTAAACTTAGATAATTAATTACGTCACAGGCTGTATGAAACTGTTTATTTTTAAATTGTTTTATCTTGTTTTAACTTTTTAGATGAACTATCAGTTCACAGTAATTCTAATATTATGGAGACAATGAAATCTGTTGGTAAACCTGATACCTACAATCAGAACATTGTCAATCAATCCAATTCTGTGATCGGGGCTACAGAATCATCAAATAATAATGATAATAATAATCAAATTGAATTCAATCAGAAAAAACGAACTAAAAGTAAACGGATGGCTCCAACTCCTCCAAGTCATAATGTATCACTACAATCTGTCCACAATCATAATCCGTTACTTGATGCATCAAATGATAATCCAATCATTATTGAACAATGCACAGATTTGAATGAAGAAACAAAAGACCTAGGTAGATTTGTGTTGTAATTAATTAACTCGTTTTTTTGAAAAGGTTGATTCAGATTTTTACTTACTAACTGAAAATATCGTAACATGTGCTCACTAGTGATTAGCTTCGTGAGGAAATTCTCGGAGTTCTAGTTGAGAAGACGTGACCAATGGAGTTCAACCCTGTCGGGTGTAGGCAGTAACTACCGAAGACAATTGGGTGAGGTTGCACAAAAGCCCTAGATCAATCAGAGTTAGACATTAATACCGTTGGATGCCGGTCCAGTGGTCCGATGGTTAAGCGTTCGCGCACAGTACCGAAGGTCCTTTGTTCGAATCCTGTGAGGTGCAGGAGTCATGGATGCGCACTGTTAATTAGTCCCACAAAAGGAAGAAACGGCCGTCCAATGCTTCGAGGTTTCTAATGGTGGTCTAACAATGATTGATTGATGATTTCAAATGTTAAATCATCATAAAGCTTTTTGTTCTGACTATGAAGTTCAGCTTTAAGCACGGTGTGATAAAAAAGTATGATTGTAACAAGCTAAATAAGTGTAAGCATATAACATCTATTTAAAGTTAATCTGTGTGAAATTCATAAAATGATAAGCTTTTCATAAGGATTAGTTTGGTTTAGTCAAACAGCCAAAATTAAAAATAGATAGTATGAGGTTTGTAATGAATTATTTCTAACACTGTATCAACAAAACAAATGGTTTCTAACTATTCGATTTGATTTTAATCTACACAATACTTGAATAAGAATTTTAACTATGAGGTCAACAAACAGTTTGCTTACTATTTATTGGCTATAGTTAATTAAGGCTACTGATAAAAAATTCATCTGTTATATTCTAATGTTTGTATTTGATTATCATAAGTACTGGTAACTTATCCGTGAGGTAAACAACTTACTTACTTACTTACGCCTGTCATCTCCAATGGAGCATAGACTGCTGACCAGTGTTCTCCAACCTACTCTGTCTTGGGTTCCCGTTTCCAGTTCTGTCCAATTTTTGTTCATTCTTCTCATGTCTGTTTCCATTTCTCTGCATAATGTGTTCCTTGGTCCTCCTCTTTTCCTTCTACCTTGAGGGTTAGAAGTGAGGGCTTATCTCGTGACGCGGATGGGTGCTTTCTGCAGTGTATGTCCTATCCACTTCCACTTTTTCTTCTCTACTTCCTCTTCCAGTGTAATCTGGTTTGTTCGCTCCCACATTAGATTGTGGCTGATGGTTTTTGACCATTGCATGTGAAGTATTTTGGATTGACATCTGTCAATCAGTATTTGAATCTTCTGGATGATAGCTTTCGTAGTTCACCGTGTTTCCACCTCATCCAGTAGAACTGCTTTGACATTTGTATTGGCATTTGTATCTTGCTTAACACCGTCTTCACCTTGAATGAGTTTGTTATCTGTCCTCCGAGCACAATTTTTCAGTTTAATCCGTCATAATAATTGCGTATGATGTTGATTATCTTCTCAGGCACACCGTAGTGTCGAAGAAGCCTCCATAGTGTTGTCCTGTCCACCCTGTTAAATGCTTTTGCGTAGTCAAGGAAGTTGATGTACAGTGGTGAGTTCCACTCAATCGATTGTTCCGCAATGAAGCAAATAAATGTGAACTAGTTTCTTGTAAATCACATAATGAACTTAACTACTTTAATATTTGTAAGTAGACGATTGATGTAGTTCAACAATATTGGGTGTGAAACAGTTAACCGCCGCAGGCAATCGACTCTAGTCGCAGAATATCATGAATTTATCAATCAGACAGCAGCGCCGTTGGCTACCGGGTTAATTTCCTATAGTTTAAGCATTTTTTAGCGAAACCTAAACTTCAGGGTCCGACTTCCGGATGCACGGTGGTGAATGCAATATACTATGGAGTCCAGTATTAGGACATAATGCCCAATCACTGAATCCACCTATTCAATAATGGCCTAATTAAGATCAATCCACGATGTAACAACTATAAAAGCTTCATAATCCCCATAAAACCTTATACTGGTATTGAATGTTTCGTAAAAAGTATAGTTTTAATTAGTTAACTTTATTTCACCACAGTTTGTGGTGGACGACCTTAACTTAACTTTTGATTCTATATATAACTGGACAAAAAACATTTCGGCGTGCTCGTCTACTCAATAAGAATATTTGTGCCTAACCTTAATATTTCTAATTTCTAATCAAGGAAATATATATACATTCCTGAAGAACCTCACACTTTTCAGAAATTTTATCCAATGTAAATAATAATTTCAATACAATTCACTTTTCCATCTATCATTCATTCAAACTTTGAATTTGTCTACTGAATTGATGATTCTCTTTTAGATACAAATATAATAAATAATCCGAATACAACACAACTATTAAAAAATGCCAACTTAACAACACCACATACAGTAGTAGTTGATCGTTACTTTGATCCACCAAAACTTTCATCCATAGAAAATCAACAATATCTTAATAAATCTTATGATCATATTATCAGTAATAATACAATTGGTGGTCGAAAACTATCCAATCCTAAACAACCACCAATAGCAAATATTCTAAGCAGTGTTATATTAGATAGACCATATATTAATGCAGATGAAATTCATACGCTGTTTGATCAAAATGCGCCGAATTCAACACGAAATCCTTGTCATGATTTAGAATATTATAATCCGATCAATACAAAAATCAGTTCAACTTTACGACGTGATTATAAACATGAAGTATATTCAAGTAATGTAAAGAATCGTGATAGTAATAATAGTATTGATAATAATAATAATAATAATATGAATTCTGTAAATATAGACCAATCATTGCATTGTTTAATTTCGGAACATAAAGGTAGCAAATTATTTTATGGACCACAAGAACCATTTACTGTAGCTTCACAACATGATGCATTATTATCAGAATTATTACATCGAGGAATGCATTCGAATCCTGGAGAATCACGTCCGAAAAGCACATTTTGATTTATTATACTATACAAGGACATACACGCATGTTTCATTCATGCACATATTCACAATTCATCGACATCATTCCTATTATTATGATTATCTGTCTTATCAAAACTGAACTCTGGAAAAAGCGATTGCAGTAATATTAGTATAAACAGTTATGTGATTTAAACTGATAGAACTATACAAAGGATCAATGTAAAATTTTAAATCAATCATTTTGATCATGATAACTAATGTCATTACTTATTAGTGTGGGCAAAAATCCAGAGTATTACATTTATTCACCAAATTCCCTAACACATACTATTACAACTATCGATGTTCAAAAACATCTTTATTTAAAAGGATTAAGCGAAAACTCTCTACTCTGTTTTGTTCACTATTATTCTTCATAGAATTTTTCAATATTCTTATTCATACAACTATCATGCAATGCTGTTCATTGTATACTAAATATTAAGATTGATATTTTTCGCAGACTATTTTTATTCAATTAATAATGTTGTGTGAAGAGCAGTTATTGAGCCTTGTTTGTATCTTAAGAAATATAACTTACTTAGTGACCAGACTCATATGCTAAGTAAGCCAACAATTCAGAACATAGACGTTTCCAATTAAATTTAAACAATTCACTTATGACTTCAGATACCACAGTATTGTACATTAGAATTCCAAATCGTATTAGCAAAAAACTTCTTCATCATATATTTTAAACCAGTTTTAAGTTACTGCTGCAATGTGTTGCATTTTTATCGGATCTAAATAAGATCAGTATCGATGATAGCTTAAAACAAGAGAATAATGAATGTGTGCATACTGTGCTGATTTATGTTACGTATGCACGAAAACAGGTCGTTTGACATGCCTTGATTGTTACCAGTTTACCTTAGTCAGAAAACGAGAGCGAGGATCGAGGATACGGCGACACGACAGGCTACTCTAATCCGATTGTCTCAAACTCCCATTGAGTAAAAGAAGAAGACTTGATATGAAGTGGAACATACATTCTACAAGCATCCAGAAAGTACGAGGTCCGAGTCCAGAATAGAATCAGAATCCCGGACTAGGGATCCGGGTCCGGGTCATAAACCGTTACAGATAATGCATATTTAGGTCGAATAGGAAACAACATTGAAGCATGTGACATTGACAGTCAGGACGACCATTAGGACTATTAAGATACCGGATGAATATCCTAACAATTTTTGCGACTTCTACTATTAAAATGTTTCCTATGTAATCGTAGTCCCAAATGTGCACTATCATTAACTGTCATGGTATACTGAGTTTGGAATGAATACTTAATAATTTAACCCAGTTATTGAGTAACATGTGAATATTTCGAAGTCTTTCGACAAATTATTTTTTTCTTAGAAATCAAACTAAACATTCAAAGATTGAAAAAAATTATCACAAGCATAAACTGTTCTGATGTTCGCTACTACATCATCAAACGGTAGGTGTATATATGACATCCATCGGGTGAGAACTAGTAAACGTTTGCGAATAGCTTACTTTAGTAAATTATAATTTGTGAAGAATTGTTGAATATCACAAAACATCAAACGGTTATTTCGTTGTAAACTTGGACCTCTTAGGAGTGAGCACCAATGACCTCAGGCTGAATCAAACCTTGTGCATTCAGATCTAATAACTTAAATGCTATCTTAAGAACACTGAGTTGGTAAATATCTGAAAAGAAATGGCCAAACTTGTTTGTTTGAATATATCCATTAAGATTTTTTTCCATCATATGCCGATTTATGAATAGCGGAATTTAAGTTCGGTAACACCTCCTATAAGTAACAGATTTACGCTATTCATATGGCAAGACCACGTAAACATAACACAATTCAATGATAGTCACCGGACGCGAATGTTAAGGAAGTTATCTGGATTCTCGTTAAGACTTTCATGTTCCATGCAAGAAAATTTATCACTATACACCACAGGATGTATAATAGTTTACGCAATAAAACGGGATAGCAGTGAATTAAATGGCAGTAACGAATTGAAAACTAATAAATCAGGGTATAAACAGGCAAGATAATTGGAACTGTGTTTGCAATCCAAACAGATCAAAATAATACTAGTTCTAGTCAAGCATATTAAGGTCTAAAAGAAATATATATAACATTTTCCAGATAATTAAACATATAGAACAAGGTAAAGTTCATCACAAATTCAAATAGATAAATTTTAAGACTTAGCTCCCATTGATATCTGACCCCTTGAATTATGTGTATGTAATCCAATTATTCCCGAAAATATTTTACATTTGAATCATTGAAAAACCAAGGTGTCAATTGGATGAAATATATTACAAGCATTTATCTTAAACTGGCATAGTAGAAAATCATACTCAAGAGTTTATAGAATTTATTTAGTCACTACTGATGAACATGTAGATCTGTTGAACCTAAAGACACGTACAGCTATTCGTGTAACAAGACAACTACGTACCATATAACTTCTAGCGGCTAGCGATTATTTAGGATTGCTTTCGAAAGCTCAATCTTTGAAGGAATAAGAAGCAAAATGCCAAGAAACGTTAGGGTATATATGGTTCCTGAAAGATTGAAACTATTTCTTTTTGGTATGGATATGATTAAATCAAAATAGATAATTGTTATGTTAGAACAGTAGTTTTTTTTGACGTAGTTTATTATCATAATTTGAATCAAGAGTTAAGTTGCAGTGTATAGACTTGTGAAATGAGTTGCAAGCACTATGTAAAGTCAGTTATTTACCTTACGAGTAAGAAAAATTTATAACAATCTCTGGAGCTTTCCTACGGTTACTCCCGGTTTTATGCCCAGGTAAAGCAGAAAAGTTGGGCATTAAGTTAGCAAAACCATCACGTAGAAAACAAATTTGCTAAAAAAAACGCTGAAGGAAACAAATCATTCAAACAATTTAAACTCTATCCTAAGAGCTCTAAGGTCTTCATTTAAAAGGTTTGTGATGAAAGTCAAGTTTCTTCAGTAGGCCGATGTACCTTCTCATAAAAAGAGCAACAGTTAATGTAAGTACATGGAGTTTTCGTACAATATGAAAGACCAGATGGACCATATTAGTTTCTGCAGATATGAAAAGATACAATCTGATGGTACTTCAAATCACTGAAACACATTGGACGTAGGCTGAACAAAAAGATTAGCAACAACCTACTGTGGGAGAGAACAAACCAGATTCCAGCTGAGGAAGAAATTATGAAGAGGCATTGGAGGTGGATAGGACACACATTGGGGAAAGCACTCAACTGCGTCACAAGACAAGCCCTCACATGGAACCCTCAAGGTCAGAGGAAAAGAGGAAGGCCAAAGAACACATTACCCCGAGAATCGTAAGCAGACTTGAAAAAAAATGAACAAAAATTTGGAAGAACTGGAAAGGATGGCCTAAAACAGAGTAGGTTGAAGAATAATGGTTGGTGTATTGTGCTCCATTAGGGATAACTGTCTACAATTGCTAATTTCAAGTTTCTTTAAGACTGCATTCTCTTATAGTATGAATTAATTTACCTTTCTGAAATTCTTTCTTTTCATACTAACTCATTATTCTTCATAGTTTTCCCTCTCGTCTCCTGATTGACATTAGCAGCAAGTACCTTTGTAAGAACGCATAAGACAGTCACTTGGGAGCTGCATCTGCTTGGGATAGACTTAAAGACGTTAAGAGTGTTACTTGTTATAACCAGTGACTTGGCATTCTCATAAAAATTATCTTAACATAGTGCAATTTTCAGGAAATCCGAGCAACTCTATCTAAGCATTTCTTTAGTGATCGAAATGAGGGTGATCATGAGCGCGTTCATTAGTAAGAGCATATAAATATAAATAAGCCAGTATGTATTTAGACGAAAAGTCGTAAATTCGGCGTAAATTTATAACATCAGCTGTAAATTTAGTGACACGTTCATGATGAAGTGACCAAAAGAAGAAATGTTGCATTATTTCCTTAAGGCAGGAGAAAATACGAATGTCAAACTTACAAAACAAATAATTTCAAAGCGAGAGTGAAGCAAGTAAATTCAGACCCAATGAAACGGAGATATTCCCAACAACAGTTGGAAGTTAAATACTTTAAATTCCTCTCAAAACAAGCATCCTTTTTCCGGCAAAATTTGTGTAACCGCAACTCCTGTGTAAAATGCAGATATAATACCTGGCTACCTTCGCTGTAGAGTGTGACTAAGTATTCAGATACATAAACCGTTTGAAGAAAGTCGACTATGGAGCAATCATTCACTATTTCCGGTTTCCGTTATTGTCATTAGATAAAAGCTCACACGAAACAGCCTTCTTTTGCAAATGCTTTATATACCTTAACTGTTTCAGTTTGCATTTTTTTTTTAATAATACGTAGTACAGCTTACCAACTAATCAACACAGAAAATCTGATCGGTGGAAAAGAAAGAAATGAGTAAAAGCTGTCAAAATTCAACTTAAAATTAATTTCAATTCCAAGTTGTTGGTTGTCAATAATTATAAAAGCATAACAATGCATAATTTAATGAAAATCACGTTACAAATAAAGCACCACAATCATGTGATCTGTGACACTACTAGATGATAGAATTTCTTCGCATTCCACGATTTATGAAGGTTAATTCATCAGGTTGTTGGTCTCTTTAAGTGGTGTTTAGTTCACACTAACAGATTTGGGGTATCATTAAGACGATGTAAAAATTTAAAAATAAAATTTGAATTTATTTTGAAACGATTTGAATTATGCCTTTAGGGATATTGTGACTGAAATGCGACTAATCTTGTTTTGCTTATGGGTATCATTTATGGATTGTCTCCATATAGCTATTATGACACTTTCTATTTACTCGATATATAGATTAGAGGAGGCATAATGATAGCATGTATTTGTCAAAGGTTAGATTAGAACAACACATATAAGCGAACAATGATGTTGTTTTCGATTAGATCGTCATCAGGCTTTATTCTAATATACATGAATATTTATGATGAAAATGTTAAACCAGTCAAGGCAGTTTGAGTGATAATCACAATGAAATGAAATAGAGATTACGTAACTACATATATAATAGGCAAAAGTTCAAGTGGATAGTAGTAGGAAGACAGGTGTACTGATAGAGTAGTAAGAAAATTATAAAATATGATAACTAAAGTTTTATCAATGTCAAATGACTAGAATTAGTGTCGTCAAGTTGCTAGACTACCACCATCCATTGGATACTATAAATACCAAACACTTGAAACCGTAACAAAATAAAAAGAATCGAGCGCAAAAAAATCTCGTTAAAAAGATATTGGATATTGAATACTGACTGAATTAACAAATAGTGCTTTAAACAGTGTCTTAATCAAAATGCAGTTGGTGTGTATTTCACAAATGAAATAATATTTCAGTTTTTGTATATATATTGAAGTTTGATTAACTAGTAAGTAAGCTGATAGATGATTGCACGATAGTTAAGTTACTCAATGGCTTTTTTAGAAAAGTAAGATTTTTAACGAGGGGAAATGGCACAAGCATTTGATTGGATTGGTAAAGTCGTTAGGTCCTTCTAAGAACACGGCACAACTACCAAGGTACAGCAACGGCTTCAGTAGACTTTTTGTTGCTTAGTTTTATTTCCGGTCCAATGATGGATGACCATTGATGTACAGCGTAACATTGATTGATTGTTCCATTCTTTGCTGGTAGTTTTTTTTTATACATCCACTGAATGAGTGGTGGTGTAATTTGTCGGTCATATTTGGATTTTTTTGGATTTCTCGTTAGTGAACATCATTTACTGATATAAATTATAGATGCTGTGGATGGTATGCTAAAAGATATCATTGAATGATGGAGTTTTGTTATCTGGGCTGGATATTTCGGTTGTGCAGCTTTCATTGCTCTTATCAACAAT